CTAGTTTCAATAAGACAGTTAATGTATTTTGCTTGTTTATTTGGTTGAATTGTTAAGGTTATTAAGATTTTTCGTTATTTATGTGTATAGTTGGTGTTACATGTTAACACATTAGACGTGAATCGAATGAACGACACTATGTAATTCGACAAACAAATACAATATTTGAGTAGATGTATTCAATGTCCAACTGTTTATGTATCAAACACAAAACGCAATCAACATATAGGTTTTTCAATTCATGTGAAATCTTTTTCTTTTGACACAAATGAAAACTCATTGTGCATCCACTTGAGAAGTAACTGATTGATTTTTGTTTCTTTTTTCAGGTCAAATATTCAATACTGCTTTGGAAAAATGTTTTGAAAATACCGTCAGGAACAAAACCACTGCTATACCAGAAAGGAAACCAAACAACAGTGCAGCCATTGTCAGGGAGAATGTTTCACAAAAAATGTTGATATGCTTCTTAGTTTTGACATGTTTGACAATCAACTGCACCCCGACCCTTTCTTGACTGGGTTTCAAGAATAATTTATCTGGCTCAGATATAATAAACGAGACAAGAATGATTGGTACGCGGTAATTTGGATGGAATGTTAGGAGCAAACAAAACAAACCAAACAGAGGGGAGAAAAAAGCTTTAAATATATACTTGTACTTTATATGTATATAAAAGGGTCGCTACTTACAAGTAAACTGTTGAACCAAAGATTCTTTATGGTTAAGTTGAAGTCATCTCTGTACCAATTTAACGAACACCGTGATGGTTTGGTCCTGACATTTTTGTGTCGCACATTATTTTCTTCTCCTTTCCTTCGTATCAACGCATGCGAATGTTTATCAAAGTTTTACTTGTCGTGAGGAAAAAGGGGATGCCCCTGGTGGATCAAGAACTTAACCCTTACCAGAGTTTATGGGTTCATTCCCTTTCTTTTTATATCTTGCGTTGATCAGTGTCTTGTTTTTCGCATTGTGTTTTGCAATCTATGATTTTTTGCGGAATGTATTGTGTAAGGTTTCTGTTCAATCTTTAATATTTTTGCGGAATGTATTGTAGAATGTTTTTTTGTCCAGCCTTAAGGTCTTCTAGGTTTCTAGAAATGTTTTGTGTAATGATTTCTGTTCAGTTTTTTAGGTGTCAGTGATATGTGTTGTTGGAAGTTTTCTGTCCAGCCATTAGATTTCTTGAAATGTTTCGTGTATTGTTTCTATGTCAGTCTTTAAGTTTTCGTGAAATGATTTGTAGACTGTTTTCTGTCCAGTCTTTAGTTTTTGGTGAAATGTTTTGTAGAAAGTTTTCTTCCCAGTCTTTATATTTCAATGAAATGTGTCGTGGACTGTTTTCTGTCCAGTCTTTAGGTTTTCTTGGAACGTTTTGTGGACTATTCTCTGTCCAGTATTTAGGTTTCAGTGAAATGTTTTGTGGAATGTTTTCTGTCCAGTCTATAGGTTTCCTTAAGTGTTTTGTGGAATGTTTTCTGTTCAGTCCTTAGTTTTCAGTGAAATGTGTTGTAGACTGTTTTCTGTCCAGTCTTCAGATTATAGTTAAATGTTTTGTGGAATGTTTTCTGTCCAATCTTTAGATTTCAGTGAAATATTTTGTAAATTATTTTCTGTCTAGTCATTAGGATTCTTGAAGTGCTTTGTGTATATTCTCTGTCTAGTTTTAAGGTTTCCTGAAGTATTTTATGTATTTTGTCCGTTCAGTCTTTGGGTTAACTGAGGTTTTTTGTTGGATGTTTTCCGTCCTATCTTTAGATTTCAGTGAAATGAATTGTAGACTGTTTTCTGGCCAGTCCTTAGGTTTCCTGAAGTGCTTTTGTATTTTTTTGTGTCCAGCCTTCAGATTTGCTGAAGTGTTTAGTGTATTGTTTTTACTCCAGTCTTAAGATTTCAGTGAAATATTTGTGGTATGTGGAACCAGCATTTCAGTTTCTTTCTGTTTAATGCTTTATTGCCTATTTTTCGTGCACTCTCTATGTTTCGATGAAAAGGTTTGTTGTCTGTTACTGTCCAGTCTTTAAATTTTCACGAAATATTTTATGGACTGTTTTAAGGCTTTCGTGAAATGATTTGTAGACTGTCAAGTCTTTAGGTTTGTGGAAGGTTTTCGGTTCAGTTTTTAATTTTTCAGCGTATTCTTAAGTAATAGGATAACTATATACATTGTTAACGTTGTACATGTCTGCCTGGTAGTGTTCATCTGACATTGACCGCATTTGAATGGTTCACTGGTAAATGTAACTTTTGATGGTTAATATAAAAAAGAAGATGTGGTATGATTGCCAATGAGACAACTCTCCACAAGAGACCAAATGACACAGAAATTAACAACTATAGGTCACCGTACGGCCTTCAACAGTGCGCAAAGCCCATATCGCACAGTCAGCTATAAAAGGCCCCGAAATGACAATGTAAATTAAGTCTGTTTCTCAGGCATTGTAAACAAAAAGTCAACTTTATTTGGTGTATGGAATGATTGTTTTGTATACATATATAAATATGAGGAGATGATGTATGATTGCCAATGAGACAACTATCCACCAAAGTTCAAATAAAGTGGATGTAAGCAATTATAGGCAACCCTACGGCCTTCAACAATGAGAAAAACCCATACCGTATAGTCAGCTATAAAAGGCCCCGACATGAAAAATATGAAACAATGCAATTGAGAAAAATAACGGCCTAATTTATAACAAAACAATTAACGAAAAACAAATATGACAAACATGAAACAACGACAACCACTGAACTACAGGCTCCTGACTTGGGACAGGCACACAAAGAATGTGGCGGGGTTAAACATGTTTGTGAGCGCTCAACTCTCACCCTAACCTGGGACAGTTGTGTAGCAGCATAACATAAGAACAAACTATAATAATCAGTTGAAAAAGGCTTAACTCATCAGATCGATACAAAGAAGAAAAACATCAAACATAATCAAAGACCGGACGTGGAAGGGTATTTATCCATCCCTTATCCCTTACAACAAAAACTTTGATCTGAACTTTACCTCATTTCCATGGTTAAAATGCAAGCGTTACGTTTTCTTGAGTATGTTCGTTTTGTCAGATACTATAAGTAATATGTTAACTATATTTGGTTAAAGGATTGATTGTAAGGCGTATACGTCCGTATAGGGGGCATCTGACTTTGACTTCATTTATATTGATTATTGATAATGTTATTGTTATGTAACGCTTGTAGTATAACCTTTTGTTTAAGACTGAGAACATAAATTCAATCGTCCTCAATTAAGCGGGCGATACATATCGACGTGTGCACACTTGATATGTGAAAGCTTGACAATCGGTTAAACTGGGTAGGACAAGGGTTAATACGTGAAGGTGTTACACTCTCTTTCTTTTGGGTGTAACTCTGGATATGGGTTTGATTTCGAAGGCTTCACAATCTGTTTAATTTGGCTGTTTAGTAGGGTCAAGGGTTTGTCAGAAAGTTGATGAACCAGGGTTATGTCAAAGAACGTATCGTTCTTTTTCTAAAAACAATAAACGGAAAACAAATATAACAAACAGCAACCAACGACAACCACTGAATTACAGGTTCCTGACTTGAGACAGACACATTTAGCTTATGATAGGTTTTAACATGTTTGTTAATGTTCAACCCCCTATAAAAATAAGGAAATTTAGTATGTTTGCCAATGAGACAACGATCTAAGCCGTTTAGTTTGGAAAAAGGTTTGAAATAGACTCATCTTAGATACAAAGATTGAAGTGAAGGCTATACAATCTGTTTATTCCCCATATGATTTTGTAAACGAAGGTTTGATAGTCAGTAGGCGCTACAGTAGTCATCATATAAATGATATGTATATAGATATCAGACGAAAAAGTACTAAACTGAGGGAATGTGATTATATGTATATAAATGATAAAGTATGTATCGAAGAGTTGTGACATATATACATATATATATGTCTTTTAATGTCACTTATTAAATGGCAAAATTAAAAGCTCAAACACATCAAACGGTTGAAACAACTTACACATTCCTGACTTGCTAGAGGCATTTCCTTATGTAGAAAATGTTGGATTAAACATAGTTTTATAGCTAGCTAAGCCTCTCATTAGTATGACAGTCGCATAAATTTCCATTATATTGACAACAATCGGTGAACAAAACAAACAGACATTATTTTTACTATTTATTATTTCCCGTTTGAATGGTTTTACACTAGTAATTTTTTGGGCCCTTTATAGCTTACTGTTCGGTGTGAGCCAAGGCTCCGTGTTGAAGACCGTACTTTGACCTATAATGGTTTACTTTTTTAAATTTTGACTTGGATGGAGAGTTGTCTCATTGGCACTCATACCACATCTTCTTATATCTATTATAGGTATAAATGTCAAAAATTGGGGTACAGCAGTCAACATTGTGTTATAATCTTAATCACTATAACTTGAAACAAACAACTATGTCAACAAAGAAAAACAAAATGACATATAAAACTCTATAGACAAGGAAAATGATTAAGAATTTATCGAAGAGTTTATATCTTTATACATATCTATATGTCGTTCAATATCACTATGTAAGTATGTGTGTGTATTCTTGGAAGTGAGACAGAAATGTAAGCATATGTTCAGTGGTTGTCGTTGATTCATGTCTGTCATATTTGTTTTTTCGTAAACTGTTTTCTTATAATTTAGGCTGTTAGTTTTCTCCAATGAATTTTTCATATTTGTCATGTCGGGGTCTTTTATAGCCGACTATACGGTATGGGGTTTTCTGATTGTTGAAGGCCGTACAGTTGCCTATATTTGCTTTCATCCACTTCATTTGAACTTTGGTGAATAATTGTCTCATTGGCAATCATACGACATCTCCTTAACTTTATATACATGTTACAAACATTTATACAACTGACAACACATGAATATAACCATGACATTTCCTTTGTCATCTGAAAATATATTCAAACCTATAGAGCGATTTCTTGTTCCATTACAACTATTTACAGATTGAAAAAGGTATTTTATAGTACATCTTAAGATATAATTTGTTGTTAAATTCTACATAAAATATGTTTTTTCAAAATATATCGGTTCTTTGAAACAATTACCTAATGATAATGCAAGAGTAAGATATTCTTAAAACATGTGTTTATCCAGAATTAGGTAAATTTTAAATAGTCTTGTAATGTTGTTGGTAAGGGCAAGTCTACTATACTAGATGGAGAGCAAGTCCTCAGAATCGCTGCTCGACATATTACCATCAAGTTTAGGCGAGGAACTTGAAAGGAAGCATATTTTGTTGAAAAATTCGGATTCCAGATTTGTAATTCTGAATCGCACAGAGAGAAAATAGGCACAATAGTTTCTACGTTTTGATTGAAACACTTTTCATCCTTGAGTAAAGGCGACATGTCCTTACAGGAACATATTATTAAATTCACAATACTATTGGTGTTTTTGTCTCCAGTAATGAAGCAATATGCTAATACATCTTTACTACGACTTGCAATTAGTTTGCAACTGTTGTTTCCGTTATAAGATTTGCATTGTATATCTGGAAATTTTATATCGGATTGTTTATACCACTTTACTTTGTTATTTGTCACATTATAACCCCTTTTCATGTTTTTGAAATACAAATGTTTTAAGCATACAACTGAACGATTCGAATTTCCATGTATTAGTGCAATAACTGAGCAAGGATAACTTGGATGAAAAACAAGATTTACCCCATCTCTGTCTGGGATCATCGAATCATATGTTCTCTCTTCAGTCATCGACTGTTCTGATATTGAATACCAAACATAACAATATCTAGGCGATGCTTCCATAGGACATCTGAATAGAAACATGTCTAAATCTGGAGATATCAAGCATTTTAATGGTTCTTTTAAAGGGTTAATATGTCTCCACCAATCAAATGTACATACATGACAATCAACAAAATGAAATGTTTCATTTGCTGAGTTGAAAATCATTAACATGACATCAGTACTAGTCCATTCAACTTCCAACCGATACTGAAATACATATACTGGAAAACTATATCCAATGCATAACGGTTTTTCAAAAAATATCTGACCTCTTAACCTTACAGGAAGTTTGTATTTCTTAACGATTGTTTGTTCGTGTTCCAAAGATACAGTGGCGCGTACTGGTCCATTGAAGTGAATAGTACGAAAGTAGTGGTCATCAAACTCACTTCTGATCAACTCATTCCCAGTACACATCAAAAGTGTTGTGTCAACTATCTTTGTTGTATCCATATTGTATCCACCATATAGGTTATATCAATTATCTCTACTTTATTATTTTTACTCTGAAACAATAGAGTTTTAAAAGATTTATGCGTGTCATTTAATCATAGATGACCAGTATTTTGTAAAGTTCAATTCGCGTTCAGTATACATTCGGGACATATTTTACTGAGACTGAGTTTGAAAAGCGGCTGATAAATACATTATCAGGAGACGCGTACTTTGCCGAAGCATCTGGTCTTGTTTTTGAAACAAATAAAAGGAAAGTACGAAAGTATGAATCAAAGTATTATAACAACATAAAAAATAATCTCTAGGGTGTTATAAAGAAATGCCTGTACCAAGTCAGGAATATGACAGTTGATCCATTCGTTTGATGAGTTTGAGCTTTTGATTTTGCAATTTGATAAGGACTTTCCGTTTTGAAGTTTTCTTTGAGTTCGGTATTTTTGTTATTTTCCACATTTTAATTTTCTTTCTTTTGTCTGGTCCATAATTATAACTACGGAAGCCGTACATAATTACCACATGATTTTTTCCAATATGGCCCTATCCAGATTTCGTACATAACATTTAATGTAAAGAATATATTGGACACACTGATATTATATCGCACATTTAAAGGTTATATTGATAAATTATAAAATATAACGACGTAAATGTAACACTCTGGAAACTCAACGGACTTTTGTACGTACTTTAAGACTTCATATAATTATAATTAATGTAATTATCAAATCTTGAGCTGAAACTTGTTGTGGTGTATATAAACAAAAAGTTTTTTTTATGTATTAAGTGAAAACCCTGGTTGGAATCACTAACAAAAATTGCTTATAAATAACTAAAAATGTATTTGGAGCGTAAGGAGAATATCTAAAAGTGCTATCTATGTGTAATCAGAATTAATTTTAAAAGGCAAAATCGTTTTGTTTGTAATGGTTAATGCTCTTCAACTTCGTACTGTTTTTGGCCTTTTTATCGTTTTTGAGTCGAGCGTCACTGATGTGTCATTTGAAGACAAAACTCGCGTCTGGCGTATAAATATTTAATGCTGGTATCTATGACGAATTATTTCATATACATGCATCATATTGTTTATGAAAAAGATTCCTTTGAAACATTTTCATTTTTTAAGTGTAATCTAATATCCTTATTTGGAATTTGAATCCAACATTGGGTTTGAAACTTCTTTTCGGATTTTGATTCAAAAACAGGTTTTTAATCTAATGGATTGATTGTTTGTTGTTGCTTAATATCCAGTGGGAAGTACTTTTATATATTCGAGACGAGAACATATAAACAATTAATGGTCCGTGACACAGTTATCGTTTTTTGATTTTCGTTGTCTACAAATATAGTCCCTACTGTGAACAGTGTATTAGTTTCAATTTTTTTCATACCCCTTCCAAATTTATTTCTTCATGTGTTATGCCTCAAAAAGTAAGTAGGGGGATGAAATTACACTGTACAAAAATTTTGGTCCTGAATTTTAAAGTAAAGTAAATAGTGATTTGGTCCAGGTGAAAAAAGGTTAACAATTAATATGTCTGAAGTTTCAAAAGAATTCAAGACCTCCTTAACATAAAATTGTCCATATTTTGAGTTAGAGCTGATGAAGTTTTCTATAATTTTGATATAATTTGTCCTAAACGTAGTACACCACACTGTAAAAATATTATTGAGAAAGCGCAGGTGGGATTTTTTTTTAATTTTCATTTATTGTCTAAAAGAAATGCACTACGAAATAACTGCGTTATCGGGCCTAATACAAGAGATAGGTTCTGCAAAGTAGATCGACCGGGATGAAAGGCAAATATTTGGACTGCCACTGGGAAATGAGGGTATGTCCCTCCAACAGACCCCCCCCCCTAGAATTGTTGCAAGGCCTAGGGTTTTTAGTGTGTAGAAAGCGCGGGACTCTTTTCACTAGGCATCGGAATAAGTTTCCCTATCCAACCAAATGTGGCTTTGTATTTATACATCCCGCTAAACCGACGCCTCACTTTAAAACGGTTCTTACAGCAAGACTTGATAAATCTAGGGATGACTGTATCGCTAAACCCTATATAGATAAAGAGACGTTGTATGATTGTCAATAAAAGAAATCTCTCCACCAGAGACCAAATGACTGATATTAGCAACTATAGGTCACCGTACAGCCTTCTACAAACTAAAACCGATATCGAAAGGCCCCGACATGTACCTACGGGTTCTAAAATCAACATAACTGAAAAAATTTGGATATGATATTCCATAAATAATTAGTTTAGGTAAGTCAAACTACCAAAACAAATTTTTGTAACACAAAATAAAGTAAAGGGATTAATTAAATTATGGTTATTATATCCCTGTAATACATATATAACGTTCGTTGAAATCTATAACAAACCACAAACATGGGCATAGCAAACGAGTTCTGTAAGATGAGGTCAAAGGAACATCACAGTAAAAAAAAGGAAAAGAAAAAATTCCTGATGACGTAAATTTTGGCATTTGTTTCCTGTTTGAAAGAGAGGCGAAAGCTATCAAATGGACAGGCAAACTCATATGATGAAAACAAATTAACAACGCCATGGCTAAAAAAGAAAACGACCAAAAGACAACCAACAGTATACAAAACACAACATAGAAAACTAAAGACTGAGCAACACGATCACCACCAAAAATCCGGGTTGATCTCAGGTGCCCCGGAAAGGTACGCAGATCCTGCTCCACATATGGCACCCGTTCTTTCGCTCATGTAAGTACAAACCCGGTGATATATCTAAATCTATGACAGGTCGTTTATTGCTCTGTACATTAGATTGATTTATAATAAGTTCATCATGGTAAATACCAGCAGTGAATTTAGAGAATACTTTATTATTTAACGAAAAAATATCTGCAAGGTCACGGAAGGTGATGAATTGATCAATTAAAAGATCAATTAAATGAAATTTATTAGCATTTTTACTAGGTTTAGCCATAATATGTGATTCAAAACGATACACGAACAAGTCTGCTATTAAAGGGCATTATCGGTCGGCATTCTTCGGAGGTCTTCTCTATGGTTAATTAGATGGCATCTAGTCTAAAATGCACACACAGTGCTGATCCATTAAATATAACGAGTCTATGCATTGTAAATTGTTTCTTTTGGAGTTTTTGCAATTTGGATCTACGTTTTAGTATGTTATAAAACATTGCATATGAGAATTGAGTCAAATCGGGGAACATTAAATATAATGCCCCTTTAATTATCTCATTACACTTCAATAAAAATGAAAGATTGCTCCATTACTAAATCAAAAAATAATGTATCTAAACTAGTCTTTACCGATACGAAAGCAACGTTGATTCTAGTTATTACCTTCGAAACAATATCATATTTTATTCAGGTGGAATTATTTTGATTCTAGATTATAAAACAAAACAAAAGCTATAAGAATAGTACAAAGATTCATAAGATGTTATCCTGGTTTGTAAACGTTAAATTAGAGATACTTAGAACATACTCGCGCACCTGCTCCTTCAATGGAAATTCAGTATTTTCCTCCTATTTTTCATATCGTTTTCATTTCATTTTCGCCAAAAAAATAAATCGTTGTTTTGCTTCAGTTTATAGGTCTAATACGAGGGTCGTATTAGAATTTATTTAACTGAGCATTTAAGTGAGAATATACTTATTTCTCATACATTACTGTGAGTCCTACGTATAGCATTGTAAGTGTTGCTTTATTTGAGGTGGCAAGATGAACATGATTAAACCAGAGACAAACAGAGGAACTTAATCCGTATGTGTTGACAACATGTACAGATTATCCGATGTATTGAAGAATAGAGACGTGTCTTGTACTTAGACCAGGCCATTGGTTTTTCGTTTGAATTATTTAAAATTTTTACATATTGGGGTGTTTAATAGCTTATTATTTTATTTTTATAATGTTTTATATTGATTTGTTTTAGTCATTTTGAAGTTAGCAGAGTCTTGACGTTAATAATATTCAACTTCAAAATTCAACGTTTAATTAATTTCATTCACAAATCCTGATTAATGTGCTTCGGGCATTCAGTCGTGACTCATTTTAGAAATTCTTGTTTTGGACTGCTAGTTTAAAACATGATGATTATCACTTACTAAGCACATGTTTTACATACATTTTTCACAATTTAGAAACATCAAATCCAGCAATTTCATTGTAAAACACCTCTTTAATACCATAATTATCATTTCTACTTTTTATAACAATTGGCAATACACTATGATCAATTTTATACAACACTGTGAAAAGGTATTTAAGAAATTGATTATAAATAACAGGAAATATAGGGGAAACCTGATCAAGGTTTCAATGACCCCCCCAAAAAATAATAAATAAATATATACAAACAAGAAAGAGCAATTAAAAAACGAAAAAAAAAAACAACAATATAACGAAACAAAAACAAACACAAATTACAATCAATCAATGATAAATCCCCCGAAACATAATAAAGGAGCATTTAAAGTTCAGCATACGGTCCTCAAAACAAGAATGATATATGTACAATATGTTAAGGTCACACTAATCGCACTGAATCCAGACAAATAGCAAATTGATAAAGACTACCACAGAGCTGTCCAATAAACACTTAAATGAACCACAATGAGAAAACACATACATTTATATCATCAGTCAACATTAACGAGGTTCCTCATTTAAAAGAGGCACATGTACATGAACATGTGGTAGGGTGAACCTACTTGTTTTAAACACTCCATTTTACGCCTCTTAAATTTCTTAACAGATGTCCTGTATGAATTGATGATTCTTTGTCCAAACGGTTCTATCGCAACATTTATGATTTGAAAACCGAGTATAAATGTCTGTAACATGAAATTAACTTTTTATTAAATGGATCGGAGTTGTTTTGTCTAAAGAGTATAACGTCAAACGGTATTACTTTTCAACAAATACGTCTACCGCTATATGATGAAACCCACAGTCATGTATTTTTAAATGTTTCACCAATTTGTCTTGTTTTAGAGACTTAAGTTTAAGCGGCAGTTAGATTTTTTTTACATTTGAAAACAGTATGTTAAACTAACTGGGTTAGGCCAGTAAAACGTAACTGGTAAATTCAATACAATGTATATTAATCTTTGATAAATAATAATTTAACAAGTCAATTATCAGTACGCTATTTTTAATATGAATAGACGCGTTTTTGTTATTTGATGCTTATGAAAATATGATACTGGACGTTAGGCAAATATAATCAATATATAAATAAATCAATAATCTTGGAAACTTCAAATTTACACTTTTATTTGTGTGGAAAATCATTTATATCTTAAAATGACCGACAGAAAAAAACAAACAATCGATTGTTCTTATCCGTCATCAAGTGTTTAGTGGAAATACAAATTCTCCAAACATTGACGTTTTGAAATGTGAGACACGTATGGAAAGAATTGTTGGTTTTCCCCACATGCGGATTTAGTTGGGGTATATTAATCTACATATATAGATAATGTATCTATACATGCTCTACTCCTAATGTTTTTAATTAGGGCCCTTCTTTTTAAAATCCTGGATCCGCATCTGTTCTCCGACTTATCAAAGGACATTTTGGCAAACGTCCGGGGATCTCTGTTCATATTGTAGCTTTTTGGTACAAAATTCTGGATGACTGGCTCATGTCTTGGTTTCTTGGCTTAATAGTCGGGTCTCTTATATAACCATTCATAAGAACTGATGCGACCTTAATAAATTTGCTATAAATAGACGTTTTTGGCTAAATTTTTGTCGATCATTCACATTTTCCGGGTCGAGCTCCCATTTCTTAAAACAATCATTATGAGTTGTTATAACGTCAGATTATCCTCCTACCTCATCCTCAATGAAATATCAAATGGTTGTCCAAAAAATTATCAGGTTTGTTTTATATGAAGGAATATGGCTTTTTATTCAGTCATCTTCCAGATAATACCACATCAATATTTTGGTAACTACTCGATTTTAGTTATGTATCTATCAAAAAGCTAGTAACTTTTGTTAATCCATCTACAGACAGGTTTTTTTCAAACAGTCAGGTGCTTTTATCGATTGAATTTAAGTCCTCGGCAAATTTGCGTCAATATTTAGGGATTACCGTTGTAATAAATGTATCAACCGGGTTGTTTTCGAATGTCAGATTTATCTCCAATTTCGTCTTGGTTATTGATAAACAACACTTCTGCCAGTCACGTTGCTTTAGCTGTTTGATTTTTTCAACTGAATGAAATGGTAGCTAAATAAAGGTGTCGTTGACTGGAAAACCCATGTATGCTTCCAATAGAAGAATCATTTAGGAAGTAAGTGCATTGTAAGGTTTATAATCACATAATATTGTATTTGAAGAAGGATAGGAGATTTAAAATGTCGACTTAAATTAATCTAATATAATCCTATTTTGTGTTTTGTGTAATGTTGTTTGTCTTTTTCTTTTTAGCCATGGCGTTGTCAATTTATTTTCGACTTATGAGTTTGAATGTCATTTGGTATCTTTCTCCTCATTTTTAGATCCCTGCAGGTCTTTTCTGTATAAGCACATGAGTAGTAAACTGTACATTGCTAGTAAACATACAAATGTTAGTGAACACTGTGAATAATTTAATGGAAATAGACAGGAGATTAAAGAAAAAAATGAATAAAAATTACAATAATATCCAAAAAGTATATTTCCGCTTACCGAGTCTCTGTAAATTAATTATGTTTGAAGTTTTGATAACATAACAATTCTCCAAATATATATATATCAGGAAAATTCAACGTGATTTTGAAATCTTATATAGATGGAAAGTTTGAAGGATCATTCATACCACACAATAACTTGAATGAAAAAAAATACAATCTCAGAAAAGACTGTATGAACCAAAATAACGATAAAATAAAATTTTTTTTCGGTCTTGAACTATTATGCAACTTTTGTGTATTTGTCTTAGATTATAATATATGGTATCACAGATTTAATAGGGGAGGTGGTTGAATTCCGAATATTATGTTCCTCCTAATGGTATTACAAAAAAATCTTTTTTTTATAAAAATGAAAAAAATCGTGTCTTGAAAAAAAAAAACCCATGGTCAAACACTCAAAAGGTTAATGTCTGTACTTTACAAATAATATTGCACTTACAGTAAACAATCTAATATAATTTCATTTTAAACTATTATTTTGAAAAAAAACTTTTAATTTCAAAATTATTGGTATTTATTTTTCATGGTATAACATGTCCTATACTTTTAATATTAAGTATTTAATTAAAATGTTCTTGAAATGTAGCACTTACAGTAAATCAATCTAAAATGATATTGATTTAAATTATTCAGTTTGAAAATTAATATAGCTTTTAATTTCAAAATTATTGTATTTATTTTGCTATGCTATAAGTTGTCCTATACTTTTACTTTTTAATATTTCAGGACGAATATTGCCTTATGTATACAAATATAAGGATACTTCAAAATCTTTTGTATTTATTTTTCAATTCTATACTTTTTCCTATAATTTTACTTTTTAGTATAACAAGTCGAAAGTTACCTAACTTTTTGAGTAAACAAGTAGGGCGATAATTCTGAACCTTGCGGATCCTCGTGATAAAAGACGTATTGTGATTTAGTGATTTTGACATAATAATTCAAGTATACATACATGTATTCATGAATTTGAATAATCTAGTCAAAATATATTTTACAAGGACTTTTATAAGAACATGTTTCGCCGTTTATTCCTTTTTTCAGATGAACATTAACATGATCAACAGATATGAGACAATAACATTTCATTTATTAGCGCAAAAGAATGAAAATAAAAATTGAATATATTTATACTTTTAAAATACAAAAATCAATCAATCAATCAATAAATACATAAATAAAAAAAACATCATGCAAACAAAACAATCAATATACTAATCAATCAATTTTCTAACCAATCAATCAATTAATCAACCAAGCATTAGTCAATCAATCTATCTGCAAAAATGAAATAATCGAGGACTTAAGGCGTTTAAAGAATACATGTATATAAATTCGCGCGATCGTGATCAGTATACTTCTTGAAGGAATTTAAGTGTGACGTGTAAAGCTGGTTTAAAATCTCAGTAATAACTTTCATAAGATCAAAGAATGTATAAATAGTAAATGTTTACAATTTCAAACGTGCAAGGTCTTAAAGTCTCGACTTTAAGACCTTGCACGTTTAAAATTGTAAACATTTACTATACAATATAAGAATACTTCAAAATAATACATAGCGGCCCTAAAATTTTTTTTAAAAAACTTGTCCGTGTAACAGTAAATAACGATAAATGTATATAAACATAAGGTGCATACCTATTGTATCAAATATCAGAGTACCAACCTTTTATTAACTACATGTTCGTTACAATTCCCAGGTGAAAAAAAAACAAACAAAATGACATCTCCAAGTAGAATAACTAAACAGGATGCTATGTTGTAAGTCATCGAGTACAAGGTAAGAGATAAATATACTAGCCATAATTATAAACACAACACTTTTACGTCATTATCCCTTATTATATCTTATATTTTATATAGATTTTAAATGTCTAATGAGAAAGTTGGACATTTCATTCGCCTGTATGCATTGACGTTAGTTTTCTAAATCTGATGACATTAAAGAAAAAGTATTTGATGTTCAAAATTGTTGTTTTAGAAAACGGAAAGATTTATTTGTTTGTTGACTTATTCAAAAGAAATGAACATTTAAAATTGGTTTAGTATGTACACTCTCGGAGTAGAAAAACTACATTTAAAATTACATACATTAGGGAATCATTCTATCAAAACCACTAAACCACGAGTCTTTTATAACTAGGGCCATCAAGGGTCATCAAGGTCCAGAAAAGTCGCCCTACTTGTTTAATCAAAATGTAAGGCAGCTTTCGGCTTTTAATACTGAAAAATAAAAGTGAAGAACAAATTATAGCACTGAAAAATAAAGACAACAATATTTTGAAATAAAAACCTTTTTTTTTTAAAGAATAATTTAAGATGATATATAACCCGAATAATTCAGTCGCTTTTATTACACTGCTGGTGGAGTTTTTATTCCCAGAGGGTATCATCAGCCCAGCAGTCAGCACTTCTGTGTTTGACATGAATTATCATTGATATGGTCATCATTATAAATTAACTGTTTTACCGAACTGTGAATTTTTGAAATTCTAAGGCTTTTTTTACCTCAGGAATAGATTACCTTAGTAGTTGTATTTGGCAAAACTTATGGGAATTTTTGCTCCTCAATTCTCTTCATCTTCGTATTTCATTTGGCCTTTTGAATTTGTTTTTTAGATTTGAACTCACTGATAAGTTTTCTGTTGACGAAACGCGCGTTTGGCGCTAAATACTTAATTTCAATCCTGGTATCTATGATGAGTTTTTTTATAACACAAGATAACATGTTTTTATTCTAATTAAAGGGTCATGAAGAGCAAAGTAATTTATTAAAATGATTTTGTTATAATTGACGCAATTAATTTTGACAATCATATGTAACTATGATTTAATCAAGTAAATTTTAAGATCTTAAGCCACAGACAGACCTGCGACTCTTTTCACAAAATATCTTACGATTAGAATTGATCGTAAGTTATACTGAAATGTGTATGACTTACGATTATTTTACTCTTAAGATTTTTTGTGAAAAGAGTCGCAGAGCCGTAACCATACATGTGTATGTGTAAACAGGCAGTATCAAAACAGATTATATATAATTTTAACAGGCAAATATTCTTAATGGGTTACATATAAACATACATGTATTTGTACTATACTGATAGTTTCAGAGTTCAAAACATTTATCAATATAAATTCCAATAATTTTCAATACCTCTAGGTTTTCTTGAATAAAAAGCCAATTGAACTTTATCGTAATTGATCTCTCCTACTCACAAGGGCCTGAAGTCCTAACACATTAAAAACTCTTCACGGTCATGGATATTGATTGGTGCCCTGTGGAAGAGGTGACCAATCAGTAGTCAGATCCATGCTATCGAGATGGGTAAATTTCGAGCTAGTTCCGAGTGCTTGATTAACGATTTTTTTTATTGTCTATTAATTCAGGCATTGATGTAGCCATCGTAGAGCAGCGGAATTTAATGACTGAATTATTCGGGTTAGATGATATTATATTTTATCTTACCTCCTATAGATTTATGGGGATATAATTGGTTAAAGGACTACACGTGTTGACTACAGATATTTGATATAGGGTGACCTAAAAATATAGGGTTAGTTACCATATAGGGTTAGTTATCAAATGGGGTTAGTAAGGAGTTACTTCCCTTTCAAAACAAAAAAGAAATCTGAAAGGTTTCAACTGACGAAGAAATTGATAATGAACGATTGAAATAATTTCATAAATCAAATTTAAAGCTTACAAATTGTTATTGTTGGCATTTGTTTTTTTAAAAGACAAATGGAAGTAGGTTCTTAATACTAAGTATTGAAGACTTAATCACTTTGATAGGCCGCTAGTCTAAATACCACATGTGAAGATAGTCGGTAAGATAAATTCGTTACAAGGTGTGCTAGTGACCTAATACGATATCAATGGGGTCAGTAAATTCCATATGAGGATTCGAGCTTCAATCTCGCCCCATATGGAATTTATTGACCCCATATATATCGTATTAGGTCACTTACACACCATGTAACTAATAATATAAGATTGATTTATCGTCAGTGATACATAGTAAAGTACCGCCCTTTTAATCTTTTAAGTGTTTTGGCATGGGGTTTCTAAAGACAAAACATTTTTCAAGTTTATAAAAAAACAAACATTGTTTTGTGAATAGCATATCAAAGAACATAATATTAGGCACAGTGTCGAACACTAACGTCATGGAATACATGATAACGAAATATCCAAGTTCCTTATAGATATCTAAAATCTACATAAAATAAATTAAGGAAAAGTAAGGTATTGTATTTATAAATATGGCTAGTATATTTATCTCTTATCCTGAACGCTGTGACTCATTCCCCATTTCCATTCTCAATTTTATGTATTGAATGAAAGGTTGGTACTCTTATATTTGATTCAATAAGTATGGTATTTTATACCATTAGACATATATCGTTATTTACTGTCATACAGACAAGTTGTGGACAAGCTCAGGGCCGCTCTGTATAATTTTGAACTATCCTTATATTTGTATAGGGCCTCGACTTTAATACCTTATACTTTAAAATCTTTAAAATGTACCATCTATTTTGGCTTTGATCTTATGGAAGTCAATACTGAGATTGTAAACCAGCATCACACGTCATACTCTCATTCCTGCAAGAGGTACTGCGCTCGAGTTAATATACTCTTCAAAAGCATAAAGTCCATGATTACTTTTTTCTGTAGATAGTTTGATTGACTTATTATTTGATTGATCATTTGATTGATTGAATAGTATATTGATTGCTTTAATTGATTGATTTGTTTTATTGTTTTATTTATTGATTGATGTGTTTATTGATTGCTTGATTGTTTGGTGTGTTTATTTGAAAGTATAGTCAATTATATAGATATGCAATGTTGATTTTAAACCTTCCCGTTATAAAATGAAATGCCATTTGTTGTCCTTTATGTTGATCATGTTATTGTTCAGCAGAAAAATGAAAACGGCGATATATGTTCTTACAAATATTTTTGTAAACTATATTTTGACTAAATAAAGCATACACATGAATATGTATACGGGAATAATACTGTCAAAACCACTCAAATGCGCTGTCTTTTATCACGAGAATCCGCAAGGTCCAGAATTGTCGTCCTACTTGTTTACTTAAAAAGTGAGGCAGTGTTCAGCTTTAAATACTGAATAGTAAAAGTATAGGACAAAATAAAAAGCTATTGGTTTTTTTTAAACAGAATAATTAAATACGAAATTAAATAAGATCAATATCTACTGTAAGTGCATTATTATTTGTGAGGTACTTTTGAGTGTTTAGGGATGTTTTTTTAATACCATTGCTAGGAACAAAATATTCGGCATTCAAGCCCCCTCCCCTAATTAAATCTGTGATAATCTTGCTTCCTTTAAATTTCCTATTTATATTTTTGTTATCTTGTACTTTTGATATATTTTTTCGTATATTTCCTTTTGGACAAACAAACCAGTTAAAAGTCTTGGTATTCATTTTTAATTATGATTATAAATAATGCCAAATCTCAAATATGGGAGAGTTTTAGATAAAATAGCAAAGCTCCTTGACAGATGATGAAAAAGAAACTTTACACTGGTTGAAAAAAAAATACTGCTACCAAATATAACCTATGTGGCTTCTTACAGTATTATTATTATACAGTATTGTTACCAGCGAATTATTCTATATAAAATTACCCTAAGCGCTTTACAACAAAATATCAATTCACATATACAATTATTTACAATACAATATGAAAGCCCGTGGTACAAATTTAGCATATGACAAATGATTACTAATAACTTGTAAAAAGATGACAAAAATCGGATTTTTAATATCTTGCATATAACATGTATAAACTGATAAACAACAAACTTATCTGTATTATAAATAGAGACAAGTTACAAATTATAACCAATATGATATATAGATTCATTTGGAATGGAAAAAAGATAGGATAAGGAAGTCAACAGTAACTAAAGATTTATAAGTTTGGCAAACATATGCTTATCTTTAATTGATAAAATCATGGCTAATAGTAAATAATTCTAAAACTAATAGCATATGTAACTTTTTAAATATCAGAAAACAAAAGATCTGTGGCAATATATTTAGACAATTTAAAGGATAAATGGATTGAAAGTTTTTGTTTGTTTGCAGAAAAACGACATAATTGACAACATAGGACATATATTAAAAGAAATTAAAGTAACCGGATAGCTGAATTCTGTATACTTTAACAGTGCGTAACCAAAACACTGGACTGAGAAGCTTAAACATGAGAAATCATTCAAAACTAATATTAAAGTCATAGGAAACGAGATTCTTTTAATTTTAATGTTAGGGAAAATATTTAACCGATGCATGCATATATACTAAAGTAAGTCCTCTATGCACTTACACTTTTACATTTTTTACGAATCTATTACGTATTATCGACAAATAACATTTCATCAAGTGATTGTTGATCGCAAGCTTATTAATTTTCGATTTTGTTGTTGAAGTTTACCGGATCATGACATAAATATACAATCAACACAGAATCATGGAGCACGTGAAGCATAAGTGAATTGATAGAGTGATATTAACATTTTTTAAAATAATTTTCATGCGTTCCCATTTGTTAATTAAACTTTTCATAACAGTTAATAATTGATTAATTTGGTCTTTCAGAATCAATTATTACTTTTTAACTTCCATTGCACGTTTGTTTACATTCTTTAATTACGGGTTTTCCATAGCAATTGTGCGGTGCGGTGGCCGAAGTTCAAACAGAGGTCACTGCATACGGAAAAAATATCGGTGTATTAAAATAAGGGGATACAATAATTCAATAGAAGTACATTTAAGACGATTTTGATAAGATAAAGGATTTTCTTTTACAAGAAAGTCCACGTTTCATGGTATTATTTAGACAATCAGGTATATAAAACATATTCAACCTTTTTAAAAATTTGAATTATCATATGACTTTAATATCAACCAAACAAAAATTAAACTTGGAGTTACTGATGCTTTACTTTCCATTGATAATAAAGACGTTTAAGAAATTATCTTACCTCCTATATATTTCTAGGAATATCATTGGTTAAAAGCGAACACCCGGAGACCGTGTATATTTAATATTGGGGTTAGTAGCATCGCTCTCTCCCCATATGACATTTACTGACTTGGAATATATCGAATTAGGTAACTACCACACTGTGTAACTAATATTTTATGTTTGAAAAAAAAAACCGAAACACCTATTTGATTTTTGAAATGGGAAAAGGTGCTAAATACAGATAGTTCAAATTGTAAATTTAAAAACTCTTTAAAATTTACTTTCGATTATTTAAAAGATAATAAAATTAAAATGTTCAGATGGAAATTAATGCTTTTTTTTTTGCCAAATAATGAGTTATCATTCCAATGGATAACAATTCAGAAAACATCCTTTATAGATATAAGAAGATGTGGTATGAGTGCCAATGAGACAACTCTCCATCCAAGTCACAATTTATAAAAGTAAACCATTATAGGTCAAAGTACGGTCTTCAACATTTGTACACTTTGTAATGAACTAGATAATTATTTTTTCATCACTTGTTCATATAATAAGACATTTTGGAAATCAATGAAATTTGTTTTAGAAAAACTTGATATTGATGAACATGTTATAAGCTTTCGTTCTCTAGTAATAGGATATATCATCTCTGATGATGCATATTTTGCACTTAATCACTTACTGGGCTACATTTTCTTTTCAGTTTATTATACACAATATATATCAAATAGCAAGGGCAAGCAATTAGATACAGTAAACCTATTTAGAAATGGACTTAAAATATAGTAGAATCATATAAAAGACAAATATAAAGATAAGCAGTATATAAGCAAAGGTGCTTGCTATTTTGAACAAAAACTAATATTCTTTTGTTCAATCGATAGGCTATAAAGTCGAAGAATTTAGTTATCTAATTTTGTTATCATATTATATACATTGTTGTTAATGTGTAAGTGTATATGTATGTATATATGTGTGCCTATATGAATTATTAACTCGGACAACTAGTCCCTAAACTAAATATTTTTGTCAAGAAAAAAAAAGGTGATAGAGTTCAAGTTGCAACAAAACACACCACCTTATCACAAATACATTCTATATTCATAACAAACACACAACTAATATTGTATATGTACATGAATGTGTGCGTAGTGTCAATTATTTGTTGTAAATACGATAGGGGTACGTCAAAATTTTAAATAAACATAATTGCCGATTGAAATTTGTTTGTTCACAAACATAAACAAGTGGAGGTCATGGGTCATTTATTTTTGGGTCAAATTTGCAAATAAAAAGATAGGCTTAAATGTTAAAGGAAAACAACATTTCATAGTACAGTAACTTACCGTTTTTAACAGTATTCAAATTTCCAAAAGCTTGTTTAATAATAAATCAAAATATATAGCAAAAGTATATATTTAATACGCAGTCATCTCATTCGATTACATTAGTGCAAGTTGTATAAGGAAAAGAACCGATAACGGATGTATAAAAATAATGTCCGTATACATATACATAGTTTAAGAATAACTGTTACATAATATTAATAGATACTCTATAAACTCATCATAGATACCAGGAGTGTACGCTACACGCGTGCTTCGTCTACAAATTACTCATCAGTGACGCTCGAATAAAAAAGTTAAAAAGGCCAAATAAAGAACAAAGTTATTATAATGAAATTAAATATAAGAACTATTTTAATATTAAGTAAAGTGAACTAAATATTCACCCCTGGATATTACGTAATCAATGTGACAGGGATACTTGATGCAGTGCAGAACATCAAATATTTTGTTAAGCAGCGAGGTGTGCAATACAGGAATTTTATGAGGGTCAAAGAATCGCCAGTTTAAATTTCATATTCTTCTTTAAATACATAACTATTAAAATATTTTTGTATGTCACTATAAACCTTACAATAGCGCTCATTTCCATCCTAAATGATTTTTCGATCAGAAGCATGCAAGGGTTTTCCATCAACGACACCCTTACTCAGCTACAAATTTAATCAAATTAAGGTAAAATAAAATAAAATTTCCCGAAAGCAAGCAACGGGACTGGCAAATGTTTCGTTTTTCACTAACACCATAAATGAAATTGGAAATAAATCTGACATTCGGAAACTTCCCGAATGATACTTTTATTGCAACGGTAATTTTTCTGCCGGTCATGCGTTTTGTGTACTATAATTTGTCTGTTGGTTTTTTTCTTTTTTAGCCATGGCGTTGTCAGTTTGTTTTCGACTTATGAGTTTGAATGTCCCTCTGGTATCTTTCGCCTCTCTCTTAAAGTTTAAATGTTCTTCCACACATGTGAAATAAAAGCGTACATTTTGATTTTTCAAGATATTTGATTTATTTGTATATTGATATCTAATTAATTGATTGCAGTGTTTGCTTTGTGTCCAGTCGCCTGTTTTCATCAACGTCAAATAACAAATACGTGTCTATTTATATTTAACACAACGTAATGATAAGTGTCTTGCAAAACTATTATTAAAACCAATTCATAAAAATCGTCTTGAATATACATGTTACTTTAAATGGCCTAACCCTGTTAGTTGAACAGACAATTGTTCACAAGCATAAAAAGACTATCAGGTGCTGAAACTGTAGTCTCTGAACCAATCCAACAAATGGTGAAAATTTTAAAGATACAAAGTAAATTACAATGTTCAATGCGTTGAATAAATGTTACTATGTGTGAAATGTCTAATATAAAATGCTTAAACAGTCCGACGAATGTGAGATAAAGTTGTACTAGTAAAACAATTGAATTTCTATGTGAATGTTATCAAACAAGCAATTTATATTGATGGACGTGTTCCAACATATACTATTGGGGTTTTATCATTTTGTGGTAGACGAATCTAAAAAAATATATAATAAGTAATACCGTCTAGCGTTACACCCTTTAGGCAAGACAACTCCGATCAATTCAAGAACAGAGAACATAAAAAGTGCCTTTCCTGTCATAGACATATGTGCATAATTCTGTCTTATTTGCCATGTATCTTTTCTTGCGCATGTATGTTGCCATTTTATTTCAATGCCACAATTTTAATTACTGGGTATTTCTAGATAAGGAAATGCATGAGAAATGACAGTTGTTTTGATATTTTTCTACATGCTAATAAGACAGTAACCTCTGTCTAAGTATTAAATCGTTTGGACGAAGAGTCATCAGTTCATACAGGGTACCTATAAAAAGTATAAAAAGCCATAAACTGTGATTCATAACAGTATAGGAACAAGTCTGCTATTAAAGGGGCACAATTAGTGCCCAGAGGAATACCTACAACCTGTCGATAAACTTTATTGCCGAAAAGTACATAAACATCCACTTTATTTGAACTTTGGTGGACAGTTGTCTCATTGGCAATAATCTCATCTCCTTATTTTTATATAAATGTTCTCAATGAGAAAATTTAGGGCTTTAATCATCTCATTACACCTCCAGTAAGTATATCTAGCATATTTACCTTTCTAATTTGAAAAAAGGCTTTATATGAGTTGCAGCAAATAAAGATTGTGTGGAAGTGTAGTATAAAGAGTGGAAAAGTCAAAACTGTCAACCGAATCTTAAGGTCCATCAAAGGCATGCAATTTATCTAAAACATTGTTTCTTATTTGTTTTTTTTGTTTGCTTTTCCCGTTTTTTTATTTTTTTTCTGTCTTTTTTGTTTCTATATATTTTGGAGGGTCATTGAATTCTTGTTCAGGTTATCCCCCATATCTCTTGTAATTTTATTTATACTCTGTAATAATCAAATTCCTAAACATTTAATCAAGGTTTTGATTTTGACCCTATTTTGAATAATATATAGACGTATTTGCCATTTGACGTTGATCTGAGTTTTGAGAAGTTTGAAAGGCGTAAAATGGAGTGTTTCACTTTACCACATGTTCATGTACATGTGCCTGTCTTAAGTGAGGAACCCCTTTAATGTTGACTTTTGACACATATTTAATATGTGTTTTCTCATTTTGGTCCATTTTAGTGTTAATTGGACAAATATGTGTTTTATTCATTTCTGGATTTGGGTCGATTCATGTGATCTAAGGATATTGTAAACATACCATACTTAATTTGAAGACTGTATGCTAACCTTCAAATGCTTTACTTTAGTTTCTTATGGATTTTTTATTGATTGCTTTTAATTTGTTTTATTTTTTTATTTTTCCCGTTTTATTAGTTTCTCTTTTGTTCTATCTTTTGTGTTTGTATATATTTTGGAGGGCCATTGCAACCTCGTTCAGGTTCTCCCCCATATCTTTTATTATTTATATTTACAATCTGTAATAATGAAATTCCTAAACATTTCATCAAGGTTCTGATTTTGACCCTAAGATAAATACCTTTTAGCAGAGCTGTATAACATTCAGGTATTGAAGAAGTGCTTTTAACCAATGAAATTTTAGGATTTGATGTTTCTTATTTGTTCAGAATGTATGTAAAACATGTTATTATTAAGTGATTACCATAATGTTTTTAAACTTACAGTTCAAAACAATAATTTATAAAAAAATAAGAATGTGTCCATAGTACACGGATGCCCCACTCGCACTATCATTTTCTATGTTCAGTGGACCGTGAAATTGGGGTCCAAATTCTAATTTGGCATTAAAATTAGAAAGATCATATTATAGGGACATGTGTACTAAGTTTCAAGTTGATTGGACTTCAACCTAAAACTACCTTGACCAAAAACTTTAACCTGAAGCGGGACAGACGGACAGACGGACGGACGGACGGACGGACGGACGAACGAACTGACGTACAGACTAGAAAACATAATGCCCCTACTACTATCGTAAGTTGGGCATAAAAAATGTTTCACAACTGCATTTCCGAAGCACATTTATCAGTTTGTCAAGATTTGTCTGTGAAACCAATTTAACGTAGAATTTTGAAACAAACATTTTTTTTTGTATTGATAACTTCAAGACTCTGCTTTCCTTGATCAAAATGACTCAAGCAAATCAATAGAATAGCATTATAAAATAATAAGCTATAAAAAAAGGGAAAATAACAAAAATACCGAACTGCATGGAAAATTCAAAACGGAAAGTCCTTTATCAAATGGCAAAATCAAAAGCTCAAACACATCAAACGAATGGAAAACAACTGTCATAATATTTCTGACTTGGTACAGGCATTACCTTATGTAGAAAATGGTGGATAAAAACACTTCAACATTCCAATATTTAAAATAGTTCAAACGAAAAACCAACGATTTGGTTTATATACAAGACTTGTCTCATTTCTTCAATACACTGGATAATCTGTACGTGTTGTCATAGAATACCGAATTAATTCCTGTGTTGGTCTCAGATAGAGATATGTTTATCTTGTCTCCTCAAATAAGTCAACACTAACAATGACATACGTAGGTGACTCTCAGTAATGTATGAACAATGAGTATGAAATCACTTTAAATTCTCAGCTACAAAAGTTCTTACGCAAGCCTCGTTTTATGGATATAACTGACATTAAAAATTTAATCTTCATTTTAAAAAATGCCGCAAAATAAGTATTTATTTCTTGGCACAAATAAAAAGTAAAATAACACAAATACCGAACTCCACGGGAAATTCAAACCGGAAAGCCCCTATTCAAATTGCAAAATCAAAAGCTCAAACACATTAAAGGAATGGAAAACAACTGTCATATTCCTGACTTGGTACAGGCATTTTCTTATGTAGAAAATGGTGGATTAAACCTGGTTTTATATCTAGCTAAACCTCTCACTTGTATGACAGTCGCATAAAATTTGAAAAAAATGTGAAAAATTGAAGGAAATTACAGATTTTTCATTGAAGGAGAGTGCGTGCGAATATGTTCTAAATATCTGTAATTTATAGTGGGCAAACCAGAGTCATAACTTATGAAGCTTTGGATATTCAAATAAACGTTGTTTTGTTTCATAATCTGGAATCAAAATAATTTCATGATATGAACAAAAAGAGTCTTGTCCCAAATGAAAAACTAAAATCAACGTTGTTTCGTATCGGTGAAGACAAGATACGACGCAATATTTTTTTAACTCCTTAAGGGATCAATCTTTTGATTTTTGTATTAAAAATAAACTCATCCGAGCTCACCCATGCGCGTTAATGTTAGGATCGGTTTTCTGTCGTGTTTGGGGAAAATCCCTGAGTCCTGCTCATCAGTATATCAATATATATATATAAGTTGTATACTGGCGTGTTTCTTTTCTATTTTGTTTTATTTTGTATGTAATATTGGACCATACACCGGTCGTCTTTGGATCAATTCGTAATTCGTCGATTTTATAAGAGCTCGGTATCATATGTTGTGCTGTGAAAAGTCAAAAGGGATGTTTTTACTGATGCTTTGATAATAATTCTTGTAAGTTTTTATATCTATTATAAGCTATAATGGGTTTATGATTAAACATGTTCACACATTTAGGGTTTTGTGAAATAAGTTTCGAGTGTTTC